TTTGATCACTCTTTTCCAGATAATGCCACTAATTATAGCTCATGCATATGTTAAAAAATGAAATACGATCAGCAATTATCATGATTGGTAATGCTAAGGACTGGTTTAAAAACAGTGATAATGTTAATGCCCCCAATAGTTCTAATCAATGCTTTTTCCAAATTGTGACAGACAGGATTTTACTCTCCAGCTCTGCAAACCTGCTGACTGCATTTACTGAGCACCGCAGCTGTCTGCTCAAACCAGAGCCCTGCTGCTAGCAGCAGAGCTCCTGCCTCCCTCAAGGAAGTCAGAGCACTTCAAGAAGCAACAACAGAAAGAGATAAGAGAGCGGAGCTTGCCTGGGTGCGAGTGCGTTGTCGGCGCGCGAATGTGTTGTGCAGCGGATGGGGGGGGATGGCTTGTAAATTGTGCCGGCGGTGCGCTTGCCGGTGACCTTGAGGGGGGCTTTGCGCTTCTTGAAGAAGAAAAGCAGAAGCTGGCGGTAAACAAAGTTCACTTCTGACAGATGGATTGAATGACAGAAAGGTTGCAAGTGCCAGAATAGCCCTGGCAGAGGAGGGAATGTTCAGCGCGGTCCAACAGGAGAGGAGGTGTGAACAGGTGCGGGGCTGCTGAAGGAAGGGGGACCAGATGGAGGGAGCCAGAGCCAGTTTAGTTAAAGGAAAAAGGGTGGGAGGGAGCAGGGGGGGGCGAGGGGGGCAGGAAAAAATGCTGAAAAGCCATAGGATCCACTGATAAATACGCACATGACGGAGGAGAAATAATGCACAAAGCAAAACCGCGCTGTAGGGAAGGGACTTGTTTTTTTTGGAGGGGGTGGGGGGTGGAAGAGTCTCATCTTCTCGGGGTTCAGTAAGGGGGAGGCCGGGAAGCACAGAGCGCTGGCGCTCCGACTCCTGCTCTTCGGTTTTTGTTAGGTTTTTCCAGGTGGCGGCCATCGGGGCCGACAGTAACCCAGGTCACTGCAGCTCCGCAGGGGGGAGTCCGTGTGGTTTCTCCCCGGGAGGAGATGGCAGAATTCGCTCCCTTCTCTTCTGCTTTCCCGGCAGCGGACTGTGCTTCACTGGCCTGTCTCCTGAAGGCTTTTGTTCCTCTGCTTGTCACTGAGGGGGTGTTGCACATTTCTGTTTTGTTTTGTTAAAACTGAATTGTGGATTCACAATCCGGGGTGTAGCACACAAGCCCTTAGCATCTGGGGAAAAAAAATCTTTTTGAAAACTGCTCTCGAAATTCGTCTTTGTATGCTTGAGCACCTTTACCTCAAACGTACTGTATCGGTAAAATCAATTTCCCCCTCTGCTTTTGAAATGTGATCGTCTTTAGGGGTATAAATAAGTGCTGTAGTGTTAGAATACTTATCCAACACCTTCTTGTGCTATAAATAACCACTCCCCCCCGTCAATGCTCCTTATTGTCATTCCAGTTTTCCATATAACAAAATAAAACTTTGTCACAGCATTTCACGTTTACTACACTGACTCACTGTGGCAATTGAGTAACTTATCTGTAGGAAGATACTTTTTTCTCCTTTGGGATCAGCAAGGAGAGAAAATCAGTCAGAAGTGTTTTAGTCACATTTTCTGTCTGAAACAAATACACAGGAGGGGACTGCATCTCTGGGTTAGTCATTCCTCAAGCGAGCAGGTTCAGAGCTGCACACTCTTCAGCAGAAAGCCTATAGGAAGGAAATAATGTCCAGCCTTTCCTCTGTATCCATTTTCCTTCTGCACAGAAGAAAGCGCGGGGATTGTTTTGTCCAGCTCTCAAGCAGACACTCACTTTGCAGAAATGTAGTTGGTAGAAAGAAGCAGCTGCACAGTGTGGCTCTGTAACAGTGTGACTGAGAAAATAGGTGAAATGGGTTGACTTCTCACCAAAATGATGTTTTCTGGCTGAAGGTGTGGAATATAATTGTCAGATCGTTCATGGCAAACAATCTCCATTGTGCGTACAAGTATTTCTGATGAGGTACACTTCCCATGTACAGTATAAGTATTATTCTGTAGGTGTCTGAGAAAACAAGAAACACATGAAAATGTATTTTTCTCTGATCTATTTAAACTCTGAAGTAGTTATGATGTAGGCATTCATGAAAAGCACTTTCTAAGAATATATTTAATAATATTTAAATATTACATTTCTAAGTGTTTTATATGTTGGGTAAATATCATCCTTCTTCAAGGAAAACCTTGCGATACAGAGCATTCTGTGCCATACATACTGTAAACCTGTGCATTTAATATCACTCAACCAACAACCATTGGTAACTGTGACACATTTGACTGAGAAGTCCTGTTTGCATTTCTGTGAATTCCCATAGATTTGCTGTCAAACTGTGTGGAAAGATGTGTTCTCAGACTTCCACTGTTCTGATCAGTGGTGCTAGGTGTAGCACTGTCAACAGCAGCCCATAGCTCGAGTTAATGACGCTTCTGGAATGTCAAAGAGGAGAAACGGGGGGCTGAAAAATTCCATTTTCAGGGATAAACCATTGTTAGTGCCATAGTCCTGAAGTTGCAGCGCCGTAGCCGAGTTCTCCTCTTCTTCCGGCAGCTATTGCGGCAGCTGCTGCTCTGCTGAAAGGCGTTGGCCGGCTCTTTCCCCAGGAGGGGATGAGCAGCGAGCTGCTCGAGAACCGTCCACGGTTTTAGTTAGATGCGGGAAGCTATGCGGTCTCCTCGCAGGATGTGAACTGTCCTCCAGCAGAGCTTTGCAGATATTTGTGTTAAAATATTCAAGCCGAATATCTGAAAGAGCGGCAAATAATCCTTGTGTTCCTGCCTATGTAATAAACCAGCAGCCAAATTCCACTTCGTGCTCGTTTTGGGAACTCTAGCATTTGGTCATTTTTGGCTGCCGATCATGGCACACGGCAGGGTGCGGTGGAGCTCTGTGGTTGAATGGGCTCTGGTGTTCTGAGTCAGATCGTCGACAGCTTGAATAGTGCCCACTTAGGCAGCACGCTCGCATGGCTGCAGCACCCTGCCATGGAGCAGCCGAATGGCTGCACTCAGCTCGCTGACCATCCAGGTCTCTTCTGGCTCCTCTGGGTGTCAAAGGCAGCTCCCCTCTCCGCTTGCTGTCAGCCTGGGGCAAGAAATACTGTACGTCTGGATTTCCATGTTTTAAATTCCATTGTAAATGGCCATTGCTCTTCTCTGCTTGTGCTCACTGCTGTGGAAGAGAGCAATCATCGGGCCATCGTTAGGCCCGTCTCTCTGTAGCAAGCGCCATGCCTGCCCAGGGGGACATGTGCATCGTCAGACCCCCAGCTCCCTTTTTGCTTTGGTGTTGAGAGCATTGCAGAGAAAACAGCGGGGTTTTCCACTGCAGTGCTGACATGAGCATCGCTGGCTATGACGAGCACTGCAGGCCTTGAGGTCAGTCTAAGCCCCAGGAGTGCTGCCCTGTGGACATGTCTTGCAGCATCGCTACACAGCAGAGTTCAGAGTTCAGAGTCCACAGTGCATCATCCTCAAAAGAGCTTGCGTCTCTTCTTTACACAACCCTAAGCTCTTTTGTGCACAGCGGCACTTGAGAGATCCTCCTTACCCTCCATGCTGCTACAGGAGGTGATTGGCAGCCAGTGATTGCAAGTTTGGGGACTGTATTACAAGATACGTCTCCACAAATATAAAAAAAGACCCTGTTCATAACTTAGTTAACTTGGGAGTAAGCAGGAATTATCTACAGCTTCAGAAAGAAATAATGGACTACAGTGTCAGTGAGATTTTAGGCCCCGGTTCAAACACAGCATGGGCTTGAGCTGTGTCCCAGTCTCACAGGCACATACAACAGCCTTCTTTCACACTCCAGACGACATCGGTGCTGGAGAAACGGTCAGTCTGGATCTGCTTTTGGAAAGTAATTGAAGAAAGTTTCAAGTAAATTAACACAGGATGGGAATATCTATTTTTTTTCCTTTCAGGGTGAAGTTTGCAGGGTACAAATTTAAAGAAGGAAGCTGCCGTGAAATACATGAAAAGCATTTAATACATGCTTAAATGGTGTAATCATGTTTGAGAGCAGAGTTTTAGTTTTTAATATTGATGTAAGATATTTTAGTAATTGCTTTTGTGTTGCTTCTAATTGAATTAAAAGGACTCAGAGATGTTTCCCTAAACTCATTTATTTATAGGAGTAGCATGTTTTAAAATTTCTTTGCCATGTTTGTGAAAATTCAATGTGAAGTTCTTGCGCCGTGTCGTAGTCTTTTCTCCAAATCTTCTGATCGTGGCAATAATCCGTATCAAGGATTTGCTTACCTGTGGTTTCACCCTATAGATATGCAGTGTACATACTTCTGCCCTGGCTTCATAAAAGGGTTTAGAATTGTTTCTTTTTTCAATCCGTTCTGTTCTACTGCTAAACAGCGGCAGTATTTTTTTCTTGAATATTAAAATTAAGCACACGTCTTCGATCCTTTAGCTGGTGTCGGAGGGTATATTTATTTTGCCCTTGAGTGTAGCTTACTGGTTTGTGAAAGAGGGGCGGATTTCAAATTGTTAGACCTCAAGCACATTTTGTTTTCATGCCTTGAGTTGTGAAAGGTTCTGTGTGTTCTTTAAAAGTTCTTTAAAAGTTTGAAAGAAAATGTCCTCATTGCAACTGCAGTTATTCGCTTCCCTAGATGGTGTGTGTCTGTGTGTGTGTGTCGGTGTGTCGGTCTGTGTGTGTCGGTCTGTGTGTGTCGGTCTGTGTGTGTCGGTCTGTGTGTGTCGGTGTGTGTGTGTCGGTGTGTGTGTGTCGGTGTGTGTGTGTCGGTGTGTGTGTGTCGGTGTGTGTGTGTCTCTGTGTGTGTGTGTCGGTGTGTGTGTGTCGGTGTGTCTGTGTGTGTGTCTCTGTGTGTGTCCCAGGGTCAGCACAGAGAAACGCTTGTACTCGTCCACAGAGGTCGTTAAAAGGCCAGGGAGGATGTTGTCTTGACCACCTGGTCCCGGGTCCGAGCCCGCTGGCCCCGTGTCACGCCTTCCTCTTCCCCGCTCCCGTCTCTGCAGGCAGGAGAAGGAGGCGGCCGTCCGCTGCCGCAGCGACGAGCTGAAGGCCTTGACCTTCGGGGCGCGGCGGCGGGAGCGGGAGCTGACGCAGAAGATCCAGCACATGGAGGCGCAGCGCGAGCGCGGCGGTAGGTGGCCCCGCCTGGCGAGGCGGCTGCCAGGCCCCGCGCCCGGCCAGCCCGGCCCGCGCCTCGCTGAGAAATGGCATCAGGAACACCTGTAACCTTTGGCTGGCCGAAGGGAGCAGATGCTCGGCACACCGGAGATTCCGCATTACATATTAGTTAGCGTTTAAAAGGGAAAATGGGAAGCATAGCCCACTGTCTGTTGATTTCGGAATGCTGCTCTCACATCTGCTGCACCATCTGGATTATGAGTTTATTTACCTGTGTTCAGGAAACTTGAAGCCTGCTGATGCCAGAACAAAGCGAGAAAAACAAAGGCCTTCTTTTTGGCTGGGTTTTGTGGCACACATGTTGCCTAAAGAGAAATGGCATCAGAAGCTCAGCAGGAAACTCTCACGGCTTATGGAATTAGTCCTTTAATACCACAGAGCACTTCCTTCTCTGAGCATATAATGGCCACTCTGACAGGCTAATGAGTTTTGTTTTTTTTTTTGAAATGCCGAGTGTTTTAATCATTGTTTAAGACAGGGTTGCATCTAAACGATATCCTTTTTTTCTGTTTGTTTATAATCCCAGTTTGTCTTTTTATCCTTTTTTATTTATTTTCACTGTGCCCTACACATGCTTAACCGTGTTCAAAGGCCTGCTATTAATTGAGGTTCTTTCAATAACTTTTTGCAACTTTTTCTGTTTTATTTGTTTCCCTTTTTTACATCTGATTGGGCCCAGCCATGTGCTGGAGTAGATAATAGTTATTTTATTCCTGCAGTAGCCTATTGTCTATTCTTGTGTTGCTTTACTGTGCTGGGTGTACCTACAGATACATTTTGTTCCTCCAGTGTTTGGAAGGCGTTACACTGTGGAATTTGGTGTTTTAATCCTCATGATTTATTAATCAATTAATCACCCATTCTGAATAATTAATCAACCATTTAATTAATCATTCGCTATGATATGTGACTGTGGTGTTACACTTGGTAAAAGTAATTTAAATAACTTCTAACATTTAACAGGCGGCTTATTTTACTAACCATTTGACAGCAAAATATTTAATTGCATGTGATCTGAGGTTTATTCCCATTTCAAATCTCCA